TCTGTATATCTTGTACTCTTGTTAGAATATTCCAACCTCACTATAATCTCCAAGGAGATATATTATAGCGGGTTTATACTGGTAATCTGTATATCTTGTTACTCTTGTTAGCATAAACATCAGTAATGGATTCATCAAATAAATACAAGTGTGTGCCAGACAATGCTGCTAAAAGGAAGAGAGAAGAGGAAAATTCTCTGTTTCCTCCATCCAAAAGAATCTAATGAAGGAAAAATGAGCAACAAGACTTGCTGTCAGGACATGAAAAATGAGACAAAAATAAAGTATGAAACTCTTCTTTCTGATCTATTCGTCAGTTCTTCAGATGAATCTTCTGAGGACGAATCTCTGGATAAAAGTGTGTGCCAGGACAATGCTGCTAAAAGGACGACAGAAGACGAACATTCTCTGTTTCTTCCAGCCAAAAAATGTAAGGAAGACAAAATAAGGAACAATAATTCTGATCTGGAAAACGAAAATGAAGCCAAGTTAAATTATGAAAATGTTGTCTCTGATTTATTCATCAGTTCTTCAGACGAATCATCAGACAGCGAATCAACGGACAGCAAATCCACTCATATCAAAACCACTGATAAGGAAGCTAGTAAAGATGAGATAGATAAGAAGGAGCTGGAGGAACTTGAACGGCAAGGACAACAAATTCTGGAACTTGTCTTTGCTGATGAAGACAGCTATCGTGATGATAGTGATAAAGATGATGATTTCTATTTAGAACGTGATGAACCAGAGCCTGATAGTGAGACTGAAAACGGTTATTATTATAGTGACAGTAACGACGACGATGGTGACATTATCGAGGACGATTATTTTGGCAATTCTGATCCAGAAAATTATGATGATTATGAATTTTGAACGGAAAAATATTGAAGTGACGAGGAGATTGAACAAGAATATTGAGTCAGTTATTACCACTGTGATAATAACTTTTAAGTTATATTTTACATTTAAGTTATATGTTTTTTATTGTGTAAGTTTAATAGTAAGTTATATTGAAGAGGAAGTAATCTATCATGGATGATACATTACTTCCTCTTCACTATAATACATTCACTGGATCTTCACTACAATATATTCAGTGCAAATTCATTATAATACATTCACTGCATCTTCACTATAAGATATTCATTGCATCTTCTTAATAATACATTCACTGCATCTTCACTATAATACATTCACAGCATCTTCACTATAATACATTCACTGAAGATTCACTGTAATACATTCAATGCATCTTCACTATAATACATTTACTGGATCTTAACTATAAAATATTCACTGCATCTTCTTAATAATACATTCACAGCATCTTCACTACAATACATTCACAGAATCTTCACTATAATACATTCACTACATCTTCACTATAATACATTCACTGCATCTTCAATACATTGCTAATAAGTACCACAATACATATATTCCAACCTCACTATAATCTCCAAGAGAGATATATTATAGTAGGTTATACTGGTAATCTGTATATCTTGTTACTCTTGTTAGTATATTCCAGCCTCACTATAATCTCCAAGAGAGATAGATATATCATAGTAGGTTATACTGGTAATCTGTATATCTTGTTACTCTTGTTAGAATATTCCAACCTCACTATAATCTCCAAGAGAGATATATTATAGCAGGTTATACTGGTAATCTGTATATCTTGTTACTCTTGTTAGCATAAACATCAGTAATGGATTCATCAAATAAATACAAGTGTGTGCCAGACAATGCTGCTAAAAGGAAGAGAGAAGAGGAAAATTCTCTGTTTCCTCCATCCAAAAGATCTAATGAAGGAAAAATGAGCAACAAGACTTGCTGTCAGGACATGAAAAATGAGACAAAAATAAAGTATGAAACTCTTCTTTCTGATCTATTCGTCAGTTCTTCAGATGAATCTTCTGAGGACGAATCTCTGGATAAGAAGTGTGTGCCAGACAATGCTGCTAAAAGGACGACACAAGACGAACATTCTCTGTTTCTTCCAGCCAAAAAATGTAAGGAAGACAAAATAAGGAACAATAATTCTGATCTGGAAAACGAAAATGAAGCCAAGTTAAATTATGAAAATGTTGTCTCTGATTTATTCATCAGTTCTTCAGACGAATCATCAGACAGCGAATCAACGGACAGCAAATCCACTCATATCAAAACCACTGATAAGGAAGCTAGTAAAGATGAGATAGATAAGAAGGAGCTGGAGGAACTTGAACGGCAAGGACAACAAATTCTGGAACTTGTCTTTGCTGATGAAGACAGCTATCGTGATGATAGTGATGAGGATGATGATTTCTATTTAGAACGTGATGAACCAGAGCCTGATAGTGAGACTGAAAACGGTTATTATTATAGTGACAGTGACGACGACGATGGTGACATTATCGAGGACGATTATTATGGCAATTCTGATCCAGAAAATTATGATGATTATGAATTTTGAACGGAAAAATATTGAAGTGACGAGGAGATTGAACAAGAATATTGAGTCAGTTATTACCACTGTGATAATAACTTTTAAGTTATATTTTACATTTAAGTTATATGTTTTTTATTGTGTAAGTTTAATAGTAAGTTATATTGAAGAGGAAGTAATCTATCATGGATGATACATTACTTCCTCTTCACTATAATACATTCACTGGATCTTCACTACAATATATTCAATGCAAATTCATTATAATACATTCACTGCATCTTCACTATAAGATATTCATTGCATCTTCTTAATAATACATTCACTGCATCTTCACTATAATACATTCACAGCATCTTCACTATAATACATTCACTGAAGATTCACTGTAATACATTCAATGCATCTTCACTATAATACATTTACTGGATCTTAACTATAAAATATTCACTGCATCTTCTTAATAATACATTCACAGCATCTTCACTACAATACATTCACAGAATCTTCACTATAATACATTCACTACATCTTCACTATAATACATTCACTGCATCTTCAATACATTGCTAATAAGTACCACAATACATATATTCCAGCCTCACTATAATCTCCAAGAGAGATATATTATAGTAGGTTATACTGGTAATCTGTATATCTTGTTACTCTTGTTAGTATATTCCAGCCTCACTATAATCTCCAAGAGAGATAGATATATCATAGTAGGTTATACTGGTAATCTGTATATCTTGTTACTCTTGTTAGAATATTCCAACCTCACTATAATCTCCAAGAGAGATATATTATAGCAGGTTATACTGGTAATCTGTATATCTTGTTACTCTTGTTAGAATATTCCAACCTCACTATAATCTCCAAGAGAGATATATTATAGTAGGTTATACTGCTAATCTGTATATCTTGTTACTCTTGTTAGAATATTCCAACCTCACTATAATCTCCAAGAGAGATATATTATAGCAGGTTATACTGGTAATCTGTATATCTTGTTACTCTTGTTAGCATAAACATCAGTAATGGATTCATCAAATAAATACAAGTGTGTGCCAGACAATGCTGCTAAAAGGAAGAGAGAAGAGGAAAATTCTCTGTTTCCTCCATCCAAAAGATCTAATGAAGGAAAAATGAGCAACAAGACTTGCTGTCAGGACATGAAAAATGAGACAAAAATAAAGTATGAAACTCTTCTTTCTGATCTATTCGTCAGTTCTTCAGATGAATCTTCTGAGGACGAATCTCTGGATAAGAAGTGTGTGCCAGACAATGCTGCTAAAAGGACGACAGAAGACGAACATTCTCTGTTTCTTCCAGCCAAAAAATGTAAGGAAGACAAAATAAGGAACAATAATTCTGATCTGGAAAACGAAAATGAAGCCAAGTTAAATTATGAAAATGTTGTCTCTGATTTATTCATTAGTTCTTCAGACGAATCATCAGACAGCGAATCAACGGACAGCAAATCCACTCATATCAAAACCACTGATAAGGAAGCTAGTAAAGATGAGATAGATAAGAAGGAGCTGGAGGAACTTGAACGGCAAGGACAACAAATTCTGGAACTTGTCTTTGCTGATGAAGACAGCTATCGTGATGATAGTGATAAAGATGATGATTTCTATTTAGAACGTGATGAACCAGAGCCTGATAGTGAGACTGAAAACGGTTATTATTATAGTGACAGTACGACGACGATGGTGACTATTATCGAGGACGATTATTTTGGCAATTCTGATCCAGAAAATTATGATGATTATGAATTTTGAACGGAAAAATATTGAAGTGACGAGGGATTGAACAAGAATATTGAGTCAGTTATTACCACTGTGATAATAACTTTTAAGTTATATTTTACATTTAAGTTATATGTTTTTTATTGTGTAAGTTTAATAGTAAGTTATATTGAAGAGGAAGTAATCTATCATGGATGATACATTACTTCCTCTTCACTATAATACATTCACTGGATTTTCACTACAATATATTCAGTGCAAATTCATTATAATACATTCACTGCATCTTCCACTATAAGATATTCATTGCATCTTCTTAATAATACATTCACTGCATCTTCACTATAATACATTCACAGCATCTTCACTATAATACATTCACTGAAGATTCACTGTAATACATTCAATGCATCTTCACTATAATACATTTACTGGATCTTAACTATAAATATATCACTGCATCTTCTTAATAATACATTCACAGCATCTTCACTACAATACTTCACAGTATCTTCACTATTATATCATTCACTACATCTTCACTATAATACATTCACTGCATCTTCAATACATTGCTAATAAGTACCACAATACATATATTCCAACCTCACTATAATCTCCAAGAGAGATATATTATAGTAGGTTATACTGGTAATCTGTATATCTTGTTACTCTTGTTAGTATATTCCAGCCTCACTATAATCTCCAAGAGAGATAGATATATCATAGTAGGTTATACTGGTAATCTGTATATCTTGTTACTCTTGTTAGAATATTCCAACCTCACTATAATCTCCAAGAGAGATATATTTATAGCAGGTTATACTGGTAATCTGTATATCTTGTTACTCTTGTTAGCATAAACATCAGTAATGGATTCATCAAATTAAATACAAGTGTGTGCCAGACAATGCTGCTAAAAGGAAGAGAGAAGAGGAAAATTCTCTGTTTCCTCCATCCAAAAGATCTAATGAAGGAAAAATGAGCAACAAGACTTGCTGTCAGGACATGAAAAATGAGACAAAAAATAAAAGTATGAAACTCTTCTTTCTGATCTATTCGTCAGTTCTTCAGATGAATCTTCTGAGGACGAATCTCTGGATAAGAAGTGTGTGCCAGACATGCTGCTAAAAGGACGACACAAGACGAACATTCTCTGTTTCTTCCAGCCAAAAAATGTAAGGAAGACAAAATAAGGAACAATAATTCTGATCTGGAAAACGAAAATGAAGCCAAGTTAAATTATGAAAATGTTGTCTCTGATTTATTCATCAGTTCTTCAGACGAATCATCAGACAGCGAATCAACGGACAGCAAATCCACTCATATCAAAACCACTGATAAGGAAGCTAGTAAAGATGAGATAGATAGAAGGAGCTGGAGGAACTTGAACGGCAAGGACAACAAATCTGGAACTTGTCTTTGCTGATGAAGACAGCTATCGTGATGATAGTGATGAGGATGATGATTTCTATTTAGAACGTGATGAACCAGAGCCTGATAGTGAGACTGAAAACGGTTATTATTATAGTGACAGTGAACGACGACGATGGTGACATTATCGAGGACGATTATTATGGCAATTCTGATCCAGAAAATTATGATGATTATGAATTTTGAACGGAAAAATATTGAAGTGCGAGGAGATTGAACAAGAATATTGAGTCAGTTATTACCACTGTGATAATAACTTTTAAGTTATATTTTACATTTAAGTTATATGTTTTTTATTGTGTAAGTTTAATAGTAAGTTATATTGAAGAGGAAGTAATCTATCATGGATGATACATTACTTCCTCTTCACTATAATACATTCACTGGATCTTCACTACAATATATTCAATGCAAATTCATTATAATACATTCACTGCATCTTCTCTATAAGATATTCATTGCATCTTCTTAATAATACATTCACTGCATCTTCACTATAATACTTTTACGGGATCTTCACTATAATACATTCACTGAAGATTCACTTTAAAACATTCAATGCTTTTTTCACTATAAAAACTTTTTCTGGATCTTAAAATATAAAATATTCACTGCCTTTTTAATTTAAAACATTCACAGCATCTTCCCCTACAATACATTCAAAAGAATCTTTATTTTAATAAAATTCACTAAATCTTTAATATAATACATTTCAGGGATTTTTCAATACATTGCTAAAAAAGTCCCCCCAAACATATATTCCAACCTCCAATTTAATTTTCCAAAAGAGATTTATTATAGTAGGTTTACTGGTTAATCTGTAATCTTTTTACTCTTTTTAGAAATTTTCCAGCATCACTATTTTCCCAAGAGAGTAATATACTAGTAGGTTATAGGAAATCTTTATCTTTTACTTTGTTAAATTTTCCAACCCACTATAATCTAAAGGAGATATATTATACGGTTATATGGTAATCTGAAATATCTTGTTACTCTTGTTACAAACTCAGTAAGGATTCATCAAAAAATAAAAGTGTGTCCCAGACAATGCTGCAAAAAAAGGAAGAGAGAAGAGGAAAATTTCCTGTTTCCTCCACCCAAAAGATCAAATAAAGGGAAAAATGAGCAAAAAGCTTCTGTCAGGAATAAAAAAATGAACAAAAATAAAGTATGAAATCTTCTTTTGATCAATTCGTCTTCTTAGTAAATCTTCTGAGGACAAATTCTGGTAAAATGTGTGCCGAAAATGCTGCTAAAGGAAGACACAAGACAAAACATTCTTTTTTCTTCCAGCCAAAAAGTAAGGAAAAAAAAAATAAGGAACAATAATTTGATCTGGAAAAAAAAAATGAACCCAAGTTAAATTATAAAAATTTGCCCATGATTTATTCTCAGTTCTTCAGACAATCACAAACGTCAACGACGCAAATCCACTATTCAAAACCATGATAAGGAACTAGTAAGTTTAAAGTAAAAAGGGCTGGAGGGAATTGAACCAAGGACAACAAATTCTGAACTTTCTTTGGATGAAGACAGCTATCGGATGATATGTGAGGAGATGATTTTATTTGAACGTGATGAACCGAGCCCGATAGTGAGACTGAAAACGGTTATTATTATTGTGACAGTAACGACGCGATGGTGAATTATCGAGGACGATTATTTGGCAATTCTGATCAAAATTATGATGATTTTGAATTTTGAACGGGAAAAATATTTAAATACGAGGAATTGAACAAAGAAAATTGAGTCATTATTACCCCCTGTGATAATAACTTTTAAATTAATTTTACATTTAAGTTATATGTTTTTTATTTTGTAAGTTTAATAGTAATTTTTTATTGAAGAGGAGAATCTATCAGGATGATCATTCTTCCTTTCACTATAATCATTTATGGATCTTCACTACAAAATATTTAATGCAAATTCATTATAATACATTCACTGCATCTTCATTAAAATTTATTGCATCTTCAAAAATACATTCACTGCATCTTTATTAATACATTTACAGACTTACTATAATTACATTTACGAGATTCACTGTAATACATTCAATGCATCTTTACAAACATTTACTGGATCTTAAATTAAAATATTCACTGCATTTCTTAATATTTCATTACAGCTCTTCACTAAAAACATACAGAACTTCACTATAATACATTCACTACATTTTCCTATAATACATTCACGCATCTTCAATACATTGTAATAAGTCCAAAAATAATATATTCCAACCTCACTAATCTCCAAGGAGATATATTAAGTAGGTTATACTGGTATCTGTTATTTGTTACTTTGTTGTATTTTCCGCCCACTTAATCTCCAAGAGAGATAGATAATATGTGGTTTATACTGGTAATTGTATATCTTGTTCTCTTTTAGAATTTTCCCAAACCCCCAAATAATCTCCAAGGAGATTATTATACAGGTTTACTGGAAATTCTGTAATCTTGTTACTCTTGTTAAAAATTTTCCAACCTCACTAAAATTTCCCCCCAAGAGAGATTATTAAGTAGGTTTACTGCTAATCTGTATATTTTGTTACTCTTGTTAGAATTTCCAACCTCCTTAATCTCCAAGGAGATATATTATGCATTATACTGGTTCTGTATATCTTGTTACTTTGTTGTATATTCCCCCACTTAATCCCCAAGAGGATGATATATCTAGTATTTATACTGGAAATCTGTATATCTTGTTATCTTGTTAAATATTCCAACCTCATATAATCTCCAAGAGGATATATTTCAGGTTTTACTGGTAATCGTTTTCTTTTTTACTTGTTAGCAAAAAACACAGAAAATGGTTTCATCAAATAATACAGTGTGTGCCAGACAATGCTGCTAAAAGGAAGGAGAAAGGAAAATTCTCTTTTTCCCTCCACCCCCAAAAGATCTAATAAAGGGGAAAAATGAGAAACAAGATTGCTGTCAACATGAAAAAGAACAAAAATAAAGTATGAACTTTTCTTTCTGACTATTCGTCAGTTCTTAGTGAAACTTTGGGACGAATCTTGGATAAAAAGTGTGTGCCAACGTGTGCTAAAGGACGAAGAAACGAACATTTTGTTTCTTCCAGCCAAAAAAAAAGTAAGGAAAAAAAATAAGGAACAATAATTCTATTGGGGAAAAGAAAATGAAACCCAAATTAAATTATGAAAAGTTGTCTCTGATTTATTTATCAGTCTTCAGACAATCATCGGGAAGCAACAACGGACAGCAAAACCACTCATATCAAAAACCCCTGTAAGGAAACTAGTAAAGATGAGATAGATAAAGGGCTGGAGGGAAATTGAACGGCAAGGGCAAAAAAATTCTGGAACTTGTCTTTGCTGATGAAGACAGTATCGTGATGATAGTGTGAGGATGTGATTTCTATTAGAAGTGATGAAACCCAAACCTATAGGAGACTGAAAAAATTTTATTATGTGACAGGAAAGCGGTGGTGAATTATCGAGGACGATTATTATGGCAAAATTCTGGGTCCAGAAAAATTTTGATATTATGAATTTTGAACGGAAAAAAAATTGAAGTGCAGGGATTAACAAGAATATTGATCATTATTACCACGTGATAATAATTTTAAGTTATATT